CTCGAACCCGCGGGCTCAGGCAATCCACTCACCTCAGCCTCCCAAAGGCGCGGGATTACAGGCTGAGCCACCAAGCCTGGCTGTGGCCTACTTTTTTGACTCTCCTCAGTGCCCCACGCTGAGCACTTAGTAGGGCTCCAATAAACAGAAAGTTCATTGATAAAAAGTCCTATTAGGCCTGGTATGGCCAGGGAGCCAATGGACTGGGTCCAGGGTCAGAGAGACTGGTGTGTTCACAGAATGACTGGCTGGAGGACTTCAGTGGCCATCTACTCCAGCCTTCTTATTTTCCTAACGAAGAAATAGACAAAGAGAGATGGAGAGCTTGGGCCATAGGTAGACTGCCATGAGAATTATCCTAAAGGTTGAAAGGGGCTTCTCCTTTCTGCCTCAGCCAAAAAAGGAAACCGAGACAGATGCATGGATGTAGGCAGAAGGAATCTGTCTTCTGAAACGGGCTCTTCTGGAGCCAGATGCCCTCTCTTCAGGTTCCCATCTAATTCCCACTCCCTCTTGTCCTCTTCTCTGGTCATGGGATCCCTCTTCCTACCAGACTGCACCTACCTGCACAGCAATGTGAGTTCCGTTGGGTGTAGCCAACAGCGCCACCTGTTGGTGATGAAGGGATGCCACACTTGAGTCCTCAGTCATCACAGCCCCAGAGGTAATGATTGTGACCTGAAAGATAAGAATGAAGGCTTCCATTCCACCTGCATGCAGTGCTCTCCTTCTCCCAACCCAAACAGAAATTCCTTCAAGCAAGGTGGTGGGGAACATCCCAGAAGGGAATGGATGGAACCATATTGGTCAGGTGAACTAGCCTGGGGCTCAGGGCTAAGTGAGGTTGGTTTTTTCTCCAACATGGAGAAATTCTCCCCAATTTAGGGACTCTGAATCATAGAACAGAGCTGTAAAAAACCCCAGAGATAATTTAATCCCTTCGTAGGAAAATGGACTAAAGTCCATGGAAAAGTGACTTGCCTAAGGTCACAAAGCAAATTAGAGGTAGTCTGATATTTAAAAAGTGTCTCAAACCCCAGTCAAATGTTTTTATTTTTTTAAAAGGAGGATTATTGAGGGGACAGAAAAGCTCCCACAGCGGGAGGGGACCCTAAGGGGTTAACCAGTCAGACGTTTTTAGATGAGAGTTGCTGATGACCCAAGAAGCTGTGGGAAAGACTGTTTTCTGAGGAGAAACTTTGTCCTCATAAGGCTTGACTAGTTCAGTCTGCACTTTAATGCCCACCCCATGGAAAGGCATGACCAGAGAATAAGAAACCCCAGGCATGACAAGAGAATAAGAAACCCCAACTGCCTGGTCATACGGGCTGCGTCTGTGTGCCATCGGCGCTGACCATGGTGACCGTGTGTGTGCCAGATGTAGTCAGTTCATCGTCATGACTGGGGATGGTGATGGTGGTGCTGCCGTGCTGGGTCACCATGCTGATGGCACTGCCCAGGGCCTGCAGGTCTTCCGGGGACAGGCTGACCTGCTGACAGGAGGGGAGCTGAGCTGGCACATCACAGAGGGCTGTCTGCAGTGCAGCACGTACTGCTCTCCCAGCCCTGGTTGGCTTATCGGTAAGCTAGAGCAGCTCCATGTCACAGGGGCGGAAGGGATGGAAGACTAGCAAACATAACGGGTCCAAGGTTGCAGAGAGGCTGCCCTATAGAGTTCCACTCTGCCTCTGGGCCCTTCACCTAATGTCCACAGGACAAGCCCAGAAGGCACAGGTGCACTTTCCAGCGAAGGTGCTGACAAGAGTTGGGTTCCATAGCTGGCTAGGACACTGCAGGGACAGACCCCAGGCTTCCTGACCCATGCCATGCTCTGGCCCCTATACCAACACGCCTCTTGAGGGGGGCATCTGAGTGTCTCATTCAGATGATCAGGACCTGACATACATCAAGTAAAGAGATAAACTACTAACTGGGCTCCTGGAGTCCCAGGGCTGAGCTAGAAGTGTAGGGAGGGAGAAGGGCTGTATTACAAGAGGTAGTCCCCTCAGCCTCAACACTCTGAGGCCCATAAAGCTAAACAGGAAGCTATGGGGAGGTGGGGTGCCAGCACCTCAGGGTCCCCAGACCCCCCAGAGTATAGGGGTACCGGCCAGCACGGCCTGACCTGTCCCTCCCCCCCATGGCCTGTACCTGCTGGGTGCCATCCTGAGTGATCAGAGCCACCTGGGGAGCCCCATCCTCTTCAGTCACCATGGCCACTTGGGCTGGGATGTCATCACCCTCTTCCTTCACCTCCGAAAGGTAAGTAATGTGGGGTTGTTTGGGTGGCGGACTCTCCTCGGCTGCAGAGGCGGCTGGGAGAGGAGAGCCGGGCTGGTGCCTACCACTGCATGCCATGAGGAGGCCTGGCTCGGCCCCACGATCACCCACTGCCCACTCCCCTCACCCTCAAGCTGCTGTTGCTCATAGAGGGCCTGCTCGCTCTCCTCTGTGGCCTCCAGCTCGCCGTGGGCACTGCGCTTGTGCATGGCCAAGGTGGAGGTTTGCCGGTAGGTCTTGCCGCAGGTGCTGCAGGTGTAGGGCTTGCAGTGTGTGTGCACCACGTGGTGCTTGTACAAGCTTGAATACTCGGTGAAGCGTTTCCCGCAGCCTGGCACCGTGCAAACGTATGGCTTCTCCCCTGGGGACACTGGGCTGTGAGGGGGGTAGGAACTGGGGCTGGCAAGGGGGAAACTAAGGGGACAGGGGTGGGGTACAGGGTTGGTGAGGGGAGAGCCACAGGGAGGGAGAGGACTGAGACTCGGCACTCTGAATGAGCAGACCGGGGCAGACGGCCAGCAGGACATAGAGAGGATGTGGGTGTGGAGCCACTGCACCCAGAGACAGGGTAGAAAGAAAAAGGGAGTGAGGCAAGGCTGAGGCTAGTGAGGGGGCTGGTGGGGCAAATGGGGACAAGTAAGGCTAAGGGTTGAGAGTGGTGAACAGCAGAGGTGGGATACTGGTTGACTGAAGTGTCGGGTATGATGGGAGAGAGCAGGGACACACGCGGTTAAGAGATGACACAGAAGGCTGGACGAGGGATGGACACTGGGAGGGTGAGGACACACAGAAGTCACATGGACAGTGGACGAAGTGAGGAGCTGAAGGTGACAGTCACTCTGCTTCTTCCCCATCATTCCTGTCCCTAGTCTCTTTTCTTTTTGAGTTGGAGTCTCACTCTGTCACCCAGACTGGAGTGTAGTGGCACACTCACGGCCACCACAGCCTTGACCTACTGGGCTCAGGTGATCCTTCCGCCTCAGCCTTCCAAGTAGCTGGAATTACAGGCACATGGCACCACACCTGGCTAATTTTTTGATTTATTGTAGAAATGCGGTCTTGCCAAGTTGCCCAAGCCGGTCTCGAACTCTTGGGGTCAGGCAATCCTCTCATCTCGGCCTTCCAAAGTGCTGGGATTACAGGCCTGAGCTACCATGCCTGGCCCTTGGTCTCTTTTCAAGCGCTCAGCCAGAGAGGAAGAACTCAGGATTGGCAAGGGGGTGGTAGCTGAGGGACCCCAGAGAAGGCTGGCAATGGAACCTGGCTGGAAATGAGGAAATGCTCACTGCAAGAGCAACTGCTGTTCTGGGATATTCCAACCCCACACCCGCATGGAATGGCTGGCAGAGAAGGGCTCTATGCTGGGAGTTGAGAATGTGACTCAGATCAGAAGCCTGCAGTAGAGGGGCTGGGGCTTCAGCAGGGGTGGTCCTCACACACTAGCTGGCCCACCTGTGTGGATGCGCACATGATTCTTGTAGTTGGTAGCGCTGGTGAAGCCACGGCCACAGTGGGGCTCCGGGCAGGTGTAGGGCCGCTCGCCTGTGTGAGTGCGCACATGTACCTTGCGGATATTAGATGTAGTAAAGGAGCGGCCACAGCCCTCGAAAGGACATCGGAACGGGCGTTCACCTGTGCAAACAGTGGGTGAACGGAGCAGCTCAGGAAGGAGGTCGTGCTGGAGCAAGAGGGGGATGGCGCTGGGCTCCATGTTCAAGTCTGCAGGGTGGGTTGAGTGCCTCTTGCCCAGGGGACAGGATGGGATGGGCAGGGCCAGGCATACCAGTGTGGGTACGGACATGCTTCTGCAGGTCTCCCGAGGTCTTGAAGGCCTTGCTGCACAGTTCCTCTGGGCACTTGTATGGTTTCTCACCAGTGTGGGTACGAACGTGGCTCTTCAGCCCGTAGCCTGTGCACGTGTGGTTGGGCAGGGGGAGAAGAGCACACACTGGGGCAAACCCTCCACTCCATGGAGAGGCCCTCCATCATCAAGTGTGCTCCGTGAGGCTCTTGACTTCCTCTGGCTCAAGAAGCCACTCATGTCTGCCTCTATCCCACTCCTGTCTGGGCAGAAAAGAGGGGCTAGAAAAGCCCACTCTGCTTTTCTTCCCTCTCCATGGGCAGTTGGCAGGGACATGAAAGAGAACTTAGAGAGCTCATGGGTTAAAAGTCCTCATTTCACAGAGGGGAAAGTAATCCCAGAGAGATACAATGGCCCACCCAACAGCCCACAGGCAGTCAGCAGTGAACTGACACAAGAATCAATCTCTCCACCAGGCCCTGGCTCCTTCTGCTGGCCTAGACTATGCCACCTTTCCCCTAGGACAGGGCTTCCTCCAGACGGAGCAGCCTACAAGTCGGAGTACCCTGGCAGGAAGTTTTTCCAGGAAGGCAGCCAGGTGTTGGGTTCTCTTCAGGGAGACCTCAAAGCAGATCTAGAACCCTCTGCCCTCAAGTGAAGGCAGTCTACCTTCAGTCTCTATCCAGGTAAGTTACCTGTGGCAAAGGCTTTTCCACAGCTAGGGAAGTCACACCGGTATGGACGGTCACCCGTATGAGCTCGTTCATGCACCTGTGAGGACAAGAGATCAGACAGTCAGAACAAGGGCACGATCCATGCTCTCTGATTTTCTTCAGGGCCCTGGCTCTCTTCCCTCCTGTATCATTCATGTGGGTCACAACCCCTGTGTTGGTGATCCCTGGGCAGGGACCAGTTCCAATCAAAGCAGAAAGGTAGTACTGCAGCCTGGAAGGGAAGACGGTAGAGCTGAGAGCTTCTGCCAGCCTCCTTACCTTCAAGTGATGAGCCGTGGTATAGAGACGCCCACAGCCCTTGTAGCCACAGCGGAACGCTCTGTCTCCAACCTGCTGCCCTCTGCCACTGTGGGGGGCCTGGCTATCATGGAGAACCTGGGGGAGAAAATCCTGGGGTCTCTGTATGTATTCTCCCCAGTGAAGGGGGGGAGAAGTGGGGCATGCTGCAGCAGAAGCAGGGCTGGCATGTGGAGTTACCACCCACCTCTGATGGCTACGGGGAGGGCTAAGGTCATGACCGCGCTTGAAAGGACTCTCCTAGACACCTAGGCACAGTGGGCAGGGCCACACTTGATCTAGGCTGAGTGCCAGAAACTCTTCTTTTAACCACACACACGGAGGAGGCTGCAACTCCGGAGACCTCCATGCCCAAATGGGAGGGTCCCTTTCCTCCTGGTGGGGAACTGCTCAGAAGGGGCAGTCACAAAGAAGTTGTTGTGGAGATGAACTCACTTACGCTCACCTGACAGGGCATGGGGACCACAGCGAGGTGGCCACGATCACAAGCACACAGGGGAGGGCTGCAGTTCCCACAGAAGTCTCAGCTCTAATAACAGCTCCCGTTAGCTGCCAAGTCCTCCCATTTAATCTCCTCCTGGGATACTGCTAGAGCCACGCATCTCACCCCAGTCCCTGGCCACAGGAAGCTGTCCTGCTTTCCCGGGCAGGGTCCTGGTGGCACTGGCCCTTATTCTTTCTTTCTGAAGTGCTTCAGGATCACATTCGGGTCTTTCTAGGAACTCCTGAAACAGAACTCCAGAAGTCATAGTGAGCAGGGGATGTAGCAGTAAGGCCAAATTCATGGCAAGGTCTGTCTAGTCAGGCTTCAGGTTAGGGGGTCAAGCAGCTGACAAAGTTTCATGAACGCTGAAGCAGCTGGTGGGTAGAGGGGAGGGCCGGGTGTGCCCAGTGGGTCAATCCACGTGGTGCTTGGATTTCATTCCCATGTCTCACCAGTTCTCAGGGTAACGAGGAAATCAAGGAACACTAAGGCTGGAAGTAACCTCTGAGATCAATGGGCTAGACTAGGTAGTGGCAGAGTCAGCACAAACCTCATGGCCCAGTTTTCTTTCCACCAGCAGCAAGTCTCAAATTTGGTCTCTAAAACATACTCCAGGGAAGAACTAGATTGGGGGAGTCATCTGAGGAAAGATTTAAGTCCCCTCTAAATGGGGGGAGGGTCTCTCCTAGAGAATAGTCATAACGCTGCAACAGTCTGTGGGGGTGATCTGTTCTAAGCTCTGTGAGTGGCAGCAGGGAGTGGGGGCTGCCTGTGAGCCCTGCTCTCACCCACCAACCATCTGGTGTAAAGGGGACCGGTCCATGCTCCTCCTGGGGACTTTTTCCCTATTGGTCAGGGATACATGTGTACCAAGAGAGGATCAAAACAAAAACAAAAACAAAAACAGGCACAGTGGCTCACGTCTATAATCCCAGACTTTGGGAGACCAAGGCAGGTGGATTGCTTGAGCTCAGGAGTTCAAGACCAGCCTAGACAACATAACAAGGCCTTGTCTCCACAGAAAATAAAAAAATTAACTGAGCATGGTGGTATACACCTGTAGTCCCAGCTACTTGGAAGACTGAGGTAGAAGGATCACCTGAGCCCAGCAGTTTGAGGCTGCAATAACTATTATCATGCCACAGTACTCTAGCTTGGGCGACAGAAAGAAACTCTGACTCAAAAAATTATATATGCAATTCCTCCCCAACTTTGGGTAACACTGGTGCTCCAGGAAGTTCTGCTGCATTCACGCTGGGGCTCTGCAGTCCAGTCAGGGAGGAAGTGCCCTGATTGGGAAAGCTCACAGATCTCTGCACCTACTTCCCCACACCAGGACCACAGTTCCAGCAGAAAGAGCCAGACTGACTGATGCGTGAAGACCTGGGCCCTTCTCCCTTTCGTGCAGGCCATGTGCTCCAAGAACCCCAGCTCATCTGCGGCACATGTCCCCATCATTGCCTACCACAGTTATTTTCTCAAATGACTGAGTCGTAGAGAAGAAATAAATACAAAAGCATCTGACCTCAGTGGATTGGACAACAAATAAAAGTCACTGGCAATGACTTCCCAGATAGCACAGAGGATCATTACAATAGCCAAAGTGAAGCTGAGCCTAACTTCCCGCTGTTCCTTATAGCAGCCTTCCCTCTGCAGGGGCATCATAAACAAGGGTGGGTATAAACAGCTATCAGCGGCCGCAGCTAGGCTGAGATTCATGCCCTGGACAATGACATGTGAGAGACAAATCAGAGGAGCTGGGGTAGGGGCAAAGGGAGAAGCCCAGGCAGTGCCCAAGCCCAGGGTTGCCCTTACCCTATAGTTAGAGTCCTGGCAGGGCCGAGAGGCAGTGGGCAGGCAAGGTCCTGCTGTCCAGAGTAAGGGACAGCATCTGGCTCTGTGTGCTTACCTTGCTGGCATACTGCTCCAGGGCCACCACTGTGTCTGCACTGAAGCCCTCGTCATCCTCTGCTGCCAGGTCCTCCAAACCCACCTCTGTCTGCACGGCCAGGATGGTGCCATCTGATGGCACAGCTACAGGGTGGTGAATATAGGCAGTGGAGCCATCTTCCAGCTGGACAGCTTCCAGGGCGCTGGGGTCATAGCCCTCTGCGGGTAACACACAGTTAGCCCTGATGCTGTACAAGGGGCCCCCTGCTTTAAGTCAATGAGAGGCGCACACCAAGGAAGGTTCCAGCATCCAGTTTCTAATGGCCCTCCTCTTGCCAGCCCTCCTTCTGGGGCTGCCTCTCCTAAGGCTGAGACCTCCCATGGTACACGGTGGTGAACTCACAAGCTCAAGGGCCCAACAGGGGCTCATCAATACCTTGGCCTGGACCACCACAGCCTCCTGACCAGCTGCTCCTCAGCCCCTCTAGTTCCCTCCAGGCAGCACAGAATCCAGAGGGATCTCTGCAGATGTAATCATGTCACCAAACTGCTTGAGCAATTTTAAATGCTTCCCACTGGTCTTAGGATAAAGACCAAAGTCCGTATCCTGCCACTCAGGCCATGAGCCCTGGCCCTGTCTTTCTCTTTGGCTTCCTCTTGCCCATTCTGCCCTCACTCCAGTGCTTTAGCTCCTAGCAGTTAATTGATCCCCAGCTCTAGGTCTGCACATGCTGTTCTTTCTGTCTGGAGTCCTGAACCCTCCCTGCCATCCCTCTTCCTACAGCTACATCTGCCTCATTCCAGAGGATCCCTCCCGGAGCCTGCTCCTTGGCTGTAAGTTCACTGGTGATGGCTTGTTTCACTTCTGTGTCCCACTGGATTCTGGGAGCAGGGCCTATGTCTGACTTTGTTCTCTGTGGCATGCCAACACCCAGCACAATGCCTGGCGTACAGTATGTGCTCAAGAAGCTACTTGTAGAAGGGATAAACCATTATTTTTCAGCACCTTAAGAGCCTCATTCTTTTTTTTTGAGTTGGAGTCTCACTCTTGTCACCCAGGCTGGAGTGCAGTGGCATGCTCACGGCCACCGCAGCCTTGACTTGCAGAGCTCAGGCGATCCTTCTGCCTCAGCCTTCCAAGTACCTGGAACTACAGATGCATGCCACCACCCCCAGCTAGTTTTTGTGATTTATTGTAGAGACGAGGTCTCACCAAGTTGCCCAGGCTGGTCTCGAACCCCCAGGCTCAGGCAATCCTCTCACCTTGGCCTCCCAAAGTGCTGAGATTACAGGCTGAGCCACTGCACCTGGCCAAGAGCTTCATTCTTAAATTAGTTTTTTCTCCTGGTCCTGGACGACATCTTCAGGTCCTATTTGAAGGCCTAAGACTTCGTGGCTGTGCTACAGCCAGAGCCACCATTAAGGCCCATGCAGCTGACCCCAAGGCTATCTCCTGTTGGCAGAAATGGCTGCTCCTATGGTCTGAATTAGGGAGACAGGAGAGGCTGCTCATCTAGGTGAGCATGTGTGAACCTTGAGGATGACACCTCCCACATTTATACCCCAACCCTCATGGTGTGCCACTCTGTACTGCTGCCTGCCTCCTGTCCTTGCCTGCCAGTCTTGATGACCGTGACCCCACCTTTGGGTGTGCGGTGTATGTAGGCCATGCTGCCATCTTCCAACTGCACAGGCTGTCCATCCTCAAACGAGAGAGATTCTGTAATGAGAGCAATGCCGGCCTTTCTCTGGAGCTCAGGGCCATGGAGGGCCCCTCGGGGGGTTTCCAGGCTTCCCTCAGCAAGGCAGGGCATGTCGGGTACCCTCACCTTTCTGTACTGTCACCTGATGAATGTATGCAGTGGTCCCGTCCTCAAGCTGGATCACTTGCCCTTCAAGCAGCTTCTCTCCTGTGGGGGTGGAGATGGAGAGAAACGGGCCAGACCCAGAAAAGGACTAGGACACCCTTCTGTTTGTAACAGAGGCCTATTTGAGTCTCTGGACGCTGCAGGGGTAAGCATGGGTAACATCCTGTGTTCCCTTGCTCCCCACCTTCCCAGGCCTGGGCCTCGAGGTTCTGAGGGGGAGGACATCTTGTCTTGCAGGAGCCCCACACCTCCCAAGAGATTTCCTTCCAGTCAATCACAGAGGAGTAACTTCATTTATTATTCTACCCACTCCCAGCAAAGTGAGGATTTCAACCACATAGTAAGTTGTTGAGATTGAGGAGAACAAAGGATGCCCTAAGGCCTGGAGAGGCCCCAGTGGGTCAAGACTCAGATGTAGCTCAAACAAACAAACCGGAACATATCCCCTCAACCCTCACTGTGGCAGCGAGCCAAGACCAAGAGTCTCTGAGAGGTGGACAGGGTAGCACAGAGGTTAAAAGCAAGAGGCTCTGGAACCAGACCCCTCCTGAGTCTGATTTCTAGCTTTACCTCTTTTTTAAAAAGTTTTTTAGAGACAGGGTCTTGTTCTTTTACTCAGGCTGGAGTGCAGTGGCACAATCACAGCTACCGCAGTCTCAACCTGCTTGGCTCTGGTGATCCTTCTGCCTCAGACTTCCAAATAGCTGGAACAACAGGTGTGCGCCACCACACCTGGCTAATTTTTTCCTTTATTGTAGAGCCTGGCCTGGCCTCAATTTTCTAATAAAAAACTGACTCACCTAAGGCAACACAACAAGCAGTGTAAAAGACTCCAGAGTTTCTAAGATATTACCCTTCCTTTATCTTTCTTTCTGGAAGGCATTTGAATAAGGTTCTTGGAATTCGAATTAGAAGGCTCTTCCCGGCTGGGCTCGGTGGCTCAGCCTGTAATCCCAGCACTTTGGGAGCCCAAGGTGGGTGGACTGCCTGAGCCCACGTCTCTATAATAAAACAAAAATTAGTTGGGCATGGTAGTGTGCGCCTGTAGTTCCAGCTACTTGGAAGGTTGAGGTGGAAGGATCACTAGAGCCCAGCAGGTCTAGGCTGCGGTGACCGGGAACAGCCACTGCACTCCGGTCTAGGCAACAGAGTGAGACTCCAACTCAAAAAAAAAAAAAGAAACTTAGCCAGGTGTAATAGCGCATATTTGTAATTCCGGCTACTTGGAAGGCTGAGGCGGAAGGATTACCAGAGCCCAGCAGGTCAACAGTGGGGTGGCCATGAGCATGCCACTGCACTTCAGCCTGGGTGACAAGAGTAAGACTCTGACTCAAAAAAAAAAAAGAAGGCTCCTCCTTGTGTCCAGTGAGTCTCAGAGAGGACGAAGAAAGACAGAGAGATTAAAGAGTTACTGACAAGTGATTTGTCCCTTCCTTGGAAGTTTCAGGTTTAGGAATCTGAGCTCTGAATATGTGAGGACCAGGCAGCTATTTCTGGCCCAGGTCTCTGCTTATGTCTCCCCTTCAGAGGAATCCCCAAACTGAGTCTTCCTGGGGTCAGTAACTAACAGTCCCACAGCCCAGCTGAAGGCAGGTAAGATGGAGACAATGGGAAGGAGGAGGAAAGGCAGCTAAGATGAAGGAAGAGGGATGCACTTTCTTCCTGCCCACTCAGAGAGCAGGGGGCCACCCTCATCTTAACATTCTACTCATCCTGGCAAGGGTACCAGGACTTGGGTCCTGAAAGCATCAGCAGAGCTACTGCTAGCAGAGTAGGTACTGCTTCAAGGCAGGAAACAACTCTTCTCAAAAAATGCTGAGTACAGTTATGTGAGGAAAAAACATAACTTATCATTTCCTCTAACAACCAGAGACTATAAAGGGGAGAAGCAGGTGAGGTGAACAGCTGACTGTGTCCCATTACAGAGAGATGACCATTCTTCCCCGTTTGCCCAGAACATTTATATTTTTAAATTTTTTGAGTCAGGATCTCATGCTGTTGCCCGAGCTGGAGTGCAGTGGCACAGTCATGGCTTACTGCGGCCTCAACCTTCTGAGCTCAGGCAATCCTCCTGCCTCAGCCTTGGGACTACAAGTGCGCGCCACCATGCCCTGCTAATTATTTTTTTTATTGTTCGTAGAAATGAGGTCTCATTATGTTTCCCAGGCTGGTCTCCAGCTCCTAGCCACAAGTGATCCTTCTGCCTCAGCCTCCAAAAGTGCTGAGATTACAGGTGTAAGCCACCATGCTCGGCCCCAGTGCATTTATGAATAGCACATTCTTCCACTTTCTTTTTTTTTTTTTTTTTCAGTTGGAGTCTCACTCTGTCGCCCAAACTGGAGTGCAGTGGCTGCTCCTGGCCACCGCAGCCTTGACCTGCTGGGCTCCGGCGATCCTTCCGCCTCAGCCTTCCAAGTAGCCGGAATTACAGGCATGTGCTACTGCGCCCGGCTGATTTTTTTTTAAAATTTATTGTAGAGATGAGGTCTCGCTGCCCAGGCGGGTCTCGAACCCGCGGGCTCAGGCAATTCACTCACCTCAGCCTCCCAAAGGCGCGGGATTACAGGCTGAGCCACCGAGCCCGGCTCATTCTTCCACTTTCAAAGTGCTGGGTTTGAATGATACATTTTATGCTTATCCTAATTACAGATAAGACTCATAAAATTTAAGGGCTTCCTGCTGACAGAGACCCAAGTGTCTCATTCAAAAACTTCAGAGGAGCTCACCAGTCACAGAAGCCTTTCAGGACAGCATGGTTCTGATTTCTGAAGGACAACTCCACCCTGAGCAGTGGGAAGGAAATCAGTTGTGTGTGTGCGTTTGTGTGGGCATGCAATCGCACACTGAAACATCATGGATGAAGCAGAGAACATGGCCAGGAAGGGAAAGATATAAATGGGGAGATGACGGAGGCAGAGACTGAAACATAGAAAGAAAAATGTAAGAATGGCTTCCTCAGAATAGGTGTGGTCATCTGCTTTATTCACTCATTCAAGCATTAATTCTCAGTGAAAGACTGAGGCATGGAACTGGGTCAGAGAAGTAAAACAGCCCTAACCAGAGTTCCTAAGTTCTTCCATCCCACTGAAACTGCACCAGAGGGGCAAGACCTGTGGTGGGAAGTCTGCAGACAAAGTTTCAGGCTTCAAAAGTATTCTAGAGAAGTTGCAGTCTCAAGAGAGAGAAGCCAATGAGACCCACATATCCTAGACAGCTCTTGACAAGAACCTTTCCAGGTGGTACCACCCACACTGTTCTATGGAAAGAGCTTACTGATGAGATTAAGGGGGCCTCTTCAGTCATTATCAGAAAACAGACAATTTAAAACGAAATCAATAAACAATTTATCTGTAAACTTAAGAATAGACACAAATTCTGGCAATGTGTTGAAATGGAGGGTAACGCAGCAATGACAACATGACCTGAGGATGGTGATACTCTTGGAGCTCAGAAAAGGCCAAATAAAGAGTAGGAACAAGCCAGGCTCAGTGGCTCAGCCTGTAATCCCGTGCCTTTGGGTGGCTGAGGTGAGTGGACTGCCTGAGCTCACGGGTTCGAGACCCGCCTAGGCAACTTGGTGAGACCTCATCTCTACAATAAATAAAAAATGAGCCGGGCGTGGCAGAGCGTGCCTGTAGTTCTGGCTACTTGTAAAGCGGCAGAAGGATCGCTGGAGCCCAGCAGGTCGAGGCTACAGTGACCGGGAGCGGCCACTGCGCTCCAGTCTGGGTGACAGAGTGAGACTCCAACTCAAAAAAAAAAAAAGAGTAGGAACAAGGCAGTGTTTGCCCAGTGCAGTCCAAGGAAGATTCGAATGCCATCTAGCACGTGAAAATGCCAGCCAGAAAGGAGGAGTGTCCTTGGCCTGCAGGCCTTGTCCTCAGCACTCTCTTGTGACGCCACATCTACCTTGGTTTTAAGTTCCTTGAGTGAAGGGATAGGGCCCATGCACACTGGCTCAAGCCTGTAATCCCAGCACTTTGGGAGGCTGAGGTGGGAGGACTGCTTGAGTCTAGGTGTTTGAGACCGATCTGGGCAACACAGCAAGATCCTGTCTGTTCAAATAAATAAACAAACAAATAAATAAATAAGCTGGGTGCTGTGTTATGTACCTGTAGTCCCAGCTACTTGGGAGGAAAAAAAGAGAGGATGCTCAGGTACACCTGAATTTCAGATAAACATTTTAAAAATAACTTCGTGTATTTTAGTATTTTCTAGTATTTCATCCCTCTTTTTTTAGATAGGGAGTCTCACTATATTGCCCAGGCTGGCTTCAAACTCCTGGTTTCAAGCAATCCTACCACCTTAGCCCTCCAAGTAGCTGGGACTACAGACATGCCACCATGCCCAGCTTAATTAATACCACGTTTACATATGTCTATCCTGTGCAATGCTTGGGACATACTTATAATGCAAAAGTATTTGTTGTTTATCTACAATTCAAATTTAACTGTGTGCCTTGTATTTTTACTTCTGGCAATTCCAGTGGGGACTAAGGCTTGAGGTCTGTGCTTGGGTGTTCCCCTCTGAACCTAGAACCTAGAAGAGTATCTTTCTCTCTCTCTCTCTTTTTTTTTTTTTTTTTTACGAGCTGGGCTTTGCTCTGTCACCCAGGCTAGAGTGCTCTGGCACAATCATAGTTCACTGCAGTCTCAAATTCCTGAGTTTAAATGATCTTCCTGTCTCAGCCTCCTTAGTAGCTGGGACTGTAGGGTCATATCACACTTTATTTATTTATTTATTTAGAGTTGGAGTCTCACTCTGTTGCCCAGGCTGAAGTGCAATGGCACACTCATGGCCACCCCAGTGTCAACCTGTTGGGCTTCAGCGATCCTTCCGCCTGAGCCTTCCAAGTAGCCTGAACTACAGGTGGGCACTACCATGTTCAACTTGCTTATTTATTTATTTATTTATTTATTTTAGAGATGGGGTCTTGCCAAGTTGCCCAGGCTGGTCCCAAACCCGTGGGCTCAGGTAATCCACCTGCCTCAGCCTCCCAAAGTGCTGGGATTACAGGCTGAGCCACCGAGCCCAGCCAGATATTTTTTTAAATTATTTTTTTTGGAGACATGGTCTTGCTTGCTATGTTGCCCAGGCTAGTCTCAAACTCCTGGCCTCAAGAGATCCTCCCACCTCATCCTGCTACGTAGCTGGGATTACAGGTAGTGAGCCACAAAACCCATCTTAAAAGAGCAAATTGTACATGGTAGATGCTCAGTAGATAAAGTCTGAGTATTTGATTTTGCTTGAATTAAGATGATAAACTAGGCCAGGTTCAGTGAATCACATTTGTAATCCCAGGACTTTGGGAAGCTAAGAGTGGGAGGATTGCATGCACTCAGGAGTTTGAGACCAGCCTGGGTAACAGCAAACCTCTTCTCTACAAAAAAATGTAAAAAAAATTAGCCAGGTGTGGTGGCTCATGCCTGTAGTCCTAGCTACTCAGGAGGCTGAGGCAGAAGGACTGCCTGAGCCCAGGAAGTTGAGGATGCAGTGAGCCGTGCTTGTTCTACTGCACTCTAGTCCGGCTGACAGAGTTGGGACCCCTCGCTCCCCATCCAGAAAAAGATGACAAACTACTTCTAGAAAGCCCTGAAAACCTGAAGAGGGATATTTGAAAAGTCATAACTAGCACTGCGTTCATTTCACTCCAGAAATATTTATTTACTTTTGGGTCAGAGTCACACTCTGTTGCCCAGGGTGGAGTACAGTGGCATAATCATGACTCACTGTAGGTAGCCTTGATCTCCTGGGTTGAAGTGATCTTCCCACTTCAACCTCCTGAGAGGCATGTACCACCATGCCCAGCTAATTTTTTTATTTTTGCAGAGACAAGGTCTTGCTATGTTGTCCAGGTTGGTCTCAAACTCCAGGGCTCAAGCAATCCTCCTACTATGGCCTCCCAACGTGCTAGGATTATAGATGTGAGCCACCATACCTTGCCTAGAAATATTTTCAAACTACTCACTATTGTAAGGAATCCTGGGCTGGGCATAGTGGTTCACACCAGTACTCTCAGTCTTTTGGGAGGCTGAGGCAGGAGGATTGCTTGAATTCGAGAGTTCAAGACCAGCATGGGCAACAGAGCAAGACCCTGTCTTTACCTCCCCTACCCAAAAATAATAATAAGAAGAAGAATAAATAATAAAGGAATTCTGCCTTTGAGAGGTCTTGGCTCCGACAGCTGGAGTGGTCTGACTTTCCAGTTTGCCTAGATGGCATTTTACTTTAGAGTTCCTTTCCATCAATCACCACTGGAGATTCTCATGCAGAGCAAGTTGTGGTGGGCAGGTGGTGGTGAGACTCTTCGAAGCAGATACTCCTTTCCATAGCCTAAGGGGCAGGGTAGGATCCTGAGGTCCCAGAAATACTCACCTTTGACAGCTTGTTGGACGTAGGCTGTCGTCCCATCACTAAGGGTCACCGTCTGCAGCCCCAAGCTCTCCATGGCAAACTGCTGCTCGTGCACTCAGACATGAAGTTGGCTTCCGGCCAGCCCTGAGAGCCACAGCTGAGGTCAGAGATTTCCTCTGGGTCACAAATCTGAGACAATGAACAGCATCACATTATGAGTTGCCCAACTTCCTCCTATTGCAAGGATGTGCAGGGAAGGATTAACAAGGCCAGGCAGGAAGAAAAAAAGATGAATTCTTGCCATTGCCATGCCAGACAATCACCTCCACTGCTTTACTAGACTCTGGTTTTGCCATGTGCTCTTTGAGCTATGGCTATTGCCATGTTTCCTGGCTTTGGCACCCTTCTCTACCTTGGGGAGGTGATCCTCCTTCTTTCTAATTTACTTTTAAATAAACTATATCTTCTAATCTAAAAAAGAAAAAAAAAAGATGAATTATTTAAAGTGTGAACAATAGTAAGTCCCATACATACAAATGAGTTCCATTCCAAGAACACGTTCGTAAATCCAATTTGTTTGTAAGTCCAACAAAGTTAGCCTTGGTACCCAACTAACATGATTGGTTAGATAGTACTGTACTATAATAGGCTTATAATACTTTTCACACAAATAATACATAAAAAACAAACATACAAAAAATAAAGAAAACAGGCTTAATTTTAAAGTACAGTTCCTTGAAAAGGATAGTAGTACAGTACAATACAACAGCTGGCATACAGGGGATGGCATCAAGTAAACAGGCAAGGAATTACTGACTGGAGGAGGGAGAGGAGGTGTGAGATGGTAGAGCTGAAGGATTGTCAGCAACAGGAGACGGAGGGCAAGCTGCAATGTCACTCACACCTGACACTGATGGCACAGGTTCTGGTTTCTTGATGGATTCAATTCTAACTACCCTCTTGAAAGAAACGATTCAGGCCAGGCTTGGTGGCTCAGCCTGTAATCCCAGCTCTTTGGGAAGCCAAGGTGAGTAGATTGCCTGAGCTCGTGGGTTCGCGACCAGCCTGGTCAACTTGGTGAGACCTTGTCTCTACAATAAATTAGAAATTAGCCAGATGCAGTAGTGCACGCCTGTTGTTCCGGCTCCTTGGAAGGCTGAGGTAGAAGGATAGCAGAGCCCAGCAGGCTGAGGCTGCGGTGGCCATAGCGTGCCACTGCACTCCAGCCTGGGCGACAGTGTGAGACTCCAACTCAAAAAAAAAAAGGAAAGAAACGATTCAGCCAGGTTCGGTGGCTCAGCCTGTAATCCTGTGCCTTTGGGAGGCTGAGGTGAGTGGATTGCCTGAGCCCGCAGGTTCGAGACCCGCCTGGGCAGCGAGACCTCATCTCTACAATAAATCCAAAAATCAGCCGGGCGCGGTAGCACATGCCTGTAGTTGCGGCTACTCGGAAGGCTGAGGCGGAAGGATCGCCGGAGCCCGGCAGGTCGAGGCTGCAGTGGCCGGCAGCGGCCACTGCACTCCAGTCTGGGCAACAGAGTGAGACTCCAACTAAAAAAAAAGAAACGATTCAGTAATGTCTGGGTAGTACTGTACTGTACTCCATACAGTACTTTACAGTAAAGTACACCAAAGCACAACCACTTGTAGAGGATGCACATGTGACAATGTATGCCAGACACATAAACTAACTCATGTGATTGGACATGTGAATGCACATGTTTGCATCTTTGCAACTTGAAGGTTCAGATGTAGGGGACTTATTGTATAGTGGTTTTTATGAGAAAGGCTCAAATATCCATATCTAAGAATCCTAAAAGTTGAGCACAGAAGAGAAGCATGCCAGTTAAATTGACTGTAAAGTAAGAACTCATGGCTCATAACCCGCTTTTTTTATTTTCTTGAGTAGGAGTCTCACTCTGTTGCCCAGGCAGGAGTGCAGTGGCACGCTACTGGCCACCACATCCTCGATCTGTTGGGTTCAGGTGATCACAGATAAGCGCCACCACACCCAGCTAATTTTTGATGTGTTAATAGAGATGAGGTCTCGCTAAATTGCCCAGACTGGTCTTGAATTCCTGGACTCAGGCAATCCTCTTGCCTCTGCCTCCTAAAGTGCTGGGATTATAGGCATGAGCCACGTCCGGCCAAAACCTGTTTTTTTGTTTTGTTTTGTTTTGTTTTGAGTTGGAGTCTCACTCTGTCGCCCAGACTGGAGTGCAGTGGCATGCTCATGGCCACCGCAGCCTGGATCTGCTAGGCTCAGGCAATCCTTCCGCCTCAGCCTTCCAAGTAACCGGAATTACAGGCATGCGCTACCACGCTCGGC